TTGGTTGTTTCCAAGATCTGGCTATCACAAATTGTGCTGCTATAAACATAGGTACACATATATCACTATGATATGACGCTTTCAGTTCCTCCAGGAAAATTCCCAGTAGGGGGATAGCAGGCTTGAATGGGATTTCCAGTCCTAGTTTTCTAAGGAGTCTCCGCACTGATTTCCATAACACATCCTTTTATTTTTATTTCTGAATTTTTTATCCTTTTGAGACAGTCTTACTATGCAGTGCAGGCCCTGAGCTCACTTTGTTGTCCCAGCTGGTCTCGAACTTGTGACGATCCTCTTGCCTCAGCTTCCCCAGTGCTGAGATTACAGGTGTGTGCCTATAGCCCATTGCTTTTGGTGTCACACAGAAAACATCAAAATGGACTGCTAAATAAAGTTGCATTATCTTCTTCTTTTTATTTTTTTTTTTTGCAGAACTGGGGATTGAACTTAGGCCCTTGTGCTTGCCAGGCAAGCGCTTATTCTACTGAGCTCTCCCCAGCCCCTGCATTGTTTTCTTAAACCCTTTGAGACAAAATATATGTTCCAAAATTTACCTCTGGGACAATCAGAGTCAATTTCTCAAAGGCATATGGATGTTTTGTGAGCATCATTCTTTTGATGGCCAGTGACACCAATGCTGCTGGGGTCTCCTTGCTGAAAGCACAGGATCATTCCTGCCTGTAACCGTCATCTGGTGTGAAGTAGACAAAATGTGGTGGTGCCTGCCTGGCATGATACGTGAAAACATGGTAGATACCAAGTACTTACCAAGCTGGAAAGCTAGGAAGGACCGGAGCTTGCTTGCTTATGGAAGTATGACATTCGCTCGTGTGACTATGTGAGAGAGCTATGGATGTGAGTGGTCAGAGCAGCAAGGCACACTGAAGGTGGTAAGTGCAGCCCGGCCCCACGGCAGCTTTGTGGGTCTTAGTGCTGTGAGTGCTTTTGTTTTTGGTACCAGGGCTTGAATTCATGACCTTGCACTTGCCAGGCAGGTGCTGTGCCACTAAACTAAATCCTACCTGCTAGTACATTTTTAATGCTTGGTGTATTTGCACAATGACTCTGGGGCATGAACTAACACTAAGATAAATGTAACATACATTCTTTTTCAGATTTACCAAAAATTTATCTCCTGACAAGATAAATCTAAGTACCCTTAAAGGAGAAGGTGAATTGAAGAATTTGGAGTTGGATGAAGAGGTACTCCAGAACATGTTGGACTTACCCACATGGCTTGCGATCAGCAAAGTTTTTTGTAATAAAGCATCCATTAGGGTAAGACTTTGATATCTGTGCAGGGACTTTTATGTATTTTATTTTATTTTGGCTTTTCTGAACATTTATTACAAGATCCCAACAGTGTTTTATTTTTTCTTCTCAACATCCTGCCCTGTGGCTTCCATGGCTCTCCTTGCCCGGATGCCCAAGAGCCAGGAGTTGGCATACAGGGCTTTTGTATTTTCATTTTTTTAATCTGTCTTTTGAAATACTATGTTTTAGATAGTTATATAAAGAAACATTTATTAACATAATTTAGAAAGAAAAATGTCTGTATAAGTGATTATGATTCTGTACCTTTTAAATGTAATTGGAATCATGTTAGTATTTTAATTTGTGGATGTTAATTTTGTTTAAAATTTAATTTTATTGACATTTTAAGTAAAATTGTCAATTTTTTGTAAAATAATTGCTTCATTTTATCACATTCAAAGATAGTTTTTTATGAAGTTTATTGTCAGATAAAGAAGATAATAACATTTCTTACTGTACATCCTTATTCTTTCATTAGGAATTTTAACACTTCCTCATTTATTTCATCATTATTTTGAGGACTTACATTTTTTATTTACTCATTATTATTAAATCTTTTCTTCTTTTTTCCATTGTTATTAAATCTTGTTGTGAATTATTTTAACTTTGACCCTAAAATTATCAGATTGGGGACCAGGGAGATAACTCAGTAGAATAAACACTTGCCTGGCAAACGCAAGGGCCTGAGTTCAATCCCCGGTTCTGCAAAAAAAGATTGTCAAATTGTGTAACTCAATTACATTTAAAGATTGGGTTTAACCTGAGACTGCACAGTCGAAATATGCATGCTAATTTTTCCATAAAATTACAATTTGCTTTTTTAAGATGAGATTATATAAAGTTTCCTATTCCTTTGATGGTCATCTTCCTTTTTGGTTCTGTATTCTATGAACTCAAGTATCTACATAGACTTGACATTTTAGTGCTTGAACATTTATATTACCTATGTTTTACATTCATGGTCTTTTGTATTTGTTTTGAACATCTACAAAAATATTGGTCAGAATTCTGAAATTATACAGATTGCTAAACGAGCAGATTGATGATTATATTTTGTGGGAAACTCTTATTTATTTACTTATTGTTTATTTTGAGACAGGGTCTCACTATGTAGTTTTGGATAGCCTTGAACTCCCTGTAACCCAGGCTGACCTCAACCTCAGTGATCCTCCCGCCTCAGTCTCTTGAGTGCAGAGATTACAAGCATGTGCCACCATGCCTGGCTCTGGGAGCTCTTAAACTAATACATTAAAATGTGTTTTAAGTATTGGGAAAAATATAATTAAAGTAACTTGAAGTTTTTGTTTAAATATTTAGAAAATACAGCTGTTCAACTTATTTTGCAATTTAAGAAATCATCTGATAGAATTTGATGTTTATTCCTAGAGCATCAGTTGATTACTTTCTCATATTTTTCTAATTCATTCTAAAGAAAAAATATTTATTTGTAGATCCCATGGACAAAACTGAAAACACATCCTATCTGTTTGGTAAGTTCTGAAACCACGTCAGAAATAAGCATCCATATAGGCAAGTTATCTCTACTCTTTTTTTTTGGTCTTTTTGAGACAGAATCTCACTATGTAGTTCAGGTTCGCCTTGAACTCAACAGAATCCTCCTGCCTCAGCCTCCCGAGGACTGGGATTATTGGCATGCACCACCACATTCAGCCCTTCTCTTTCATGTTTCATGAAAATGATTTTCTGGATTTCCTAACCATTTTGTTTTGGTTGGACTTAAGTGTTTTCTGACCTTATATGAGAAGTTCTAATTTCAGAATAAGAGGATATGTAACATTTTTTAAGTCTAGAACACTGATGGTAAACCTTTTAGAGCTTTCAGTGACAGTCTGCTTTGGCTCAGAGGTCATAGGTTGCCACAAGTCTAGAGCATCATATTCTAAGTTGGTGTATTTTATTGTGCCATTTAACTCTTTTGTTGTTAGTGCATTGAAACCAGCTGCTAACACATGCTAGGCCAGCATCTTACTGCTCAACTACAACCCCAGCTCTTTTTAGTTACAGTTTTGAAACAAGGGCTTACAAGTTGCCCAGGTGGGACTTGAACTTGTGAGCCTCTTTAGGCTCCCAAGCGATGGGACTGCAGGTTAAGTGTGGACCACCATGCTCCGCTGTATCACTTAACTCTTTCCTTTTTGAGATGGGGTCTTGCAGTGGAGTTCAGGCTGGCCTTGAGCTCACATTGTGGCCTAGGCTAGTCTTGAACTCATAATAGTGTTCTTGCCTCAGCCTCCTGAGTGCAGGGATCACAAGCATGTTACCACGCCCAACTTATTTAACTCTTTACTGGCATACTGTGGACATTTGATCCAGACTTTTTGTGTTTTTGCTGTTACTGATAAAATGAATTAAGTACCATTTTAAAAAAATCTCTGCTTTGTAAGAAAAATTGAAAAAAATTGATTATTTTTTAGTTTATGTATTTGGTTGTTACAGAGTTTTACTACACAGCTCAGACTCATAGTGATTCCCCTGTTTTCAGCCACCCCAGTGTTGGGATTACAAGTGTGCGCCACCACAGCCAGACTTGGTGGTCAGCTCAGTGTGCCCAGGGGCGAGGCCAGCATGGCATGTGGTGCCAGGTATCGAACCCCAGTCCCTGTGCTTGCCTAAGCAGACGCATAGTCTGCTGAGCTATCTCACTGGCCCTTGATTGATTTCTTTTGTATGGTAAAGTATAAAGGGTTGTAGTTACGGTTGTAAGCATGCTAAGCATGAGCTACCCTGAGCCTCTACCTTGTGCCCTACTCCATGGATATTTGTTGTTGAGTACCTGTGTTGTACCCTAGGAAGACTTGCTTTTTAATACAGACTGACCGAGCAAGTATATAACTAAAACAGTATAATTGTAGATAATAATGAATATGTATATGAAGTCAAGAATGAAGAATGACTATAGTTGTGTTAATGATAACTATCCAAGGACATCACATCTTTCTTAAAGAAAAGATATTACCCTGAAAAAGAAGTTTTCCATTATGGGAGTGTTTTTTCATGTTTCTTGCTTACTTCATAATTTTCTTAATTTTATGTCTAATATCTCAGATCTTAGATTAGGGTAAGCTTTTTGGGAGTGGTTCAGTCTTATTAATTATAATTAAAATAAAATAAAAATAATTATTCTTCAGTTCATAGTGTAATACTTTGGGGATTAGAGACAATACTTTATAAAATTTTATTATTTTTTGTCAGGAAATGGCTTTGAATTTTTTTCTCTCACACTCACAGTATTTGTATCACCTTTCTACCAGATAGTAAAGCCTGGGATAGGGCTGAGTGCTTATTTTTCTTTTTTTTTTTGACACTTGCCTTTTTAAATTTTTAAAGGCATACTTAAAATGACTTTGCTCACTAACCGAGTACGTTGCTCCTGAAGAAATGAAAATGAAAATAATCTTATACTTCCATAACACACAATAAAATACAAAGTACGTATTTAACAGATTGTTTATATTTTTAACCTTTTTATTAGTCTTTAGATAAAGTAATAATGGAGATGAGTACTTGTGAAGAACCTCGAGCCCCTAATGGCCCATCACCAATTGCAACTGCTTCAGGACAAAGGTAAGGCATTTCCATTATTCTGTATGACCGTCACAGGAGGTTTTTATTTTTGTTTTGATGCACCTGTTATCTATAGTAACAGGACATAAAATTAAATCTCTCAACCTTGATGTCTTCTATCAAACATTTTACTAGGTTTAGTTGTATGCATTCAAAAGTAGCAGAGATTTTTTTTTTTTTTTTTTTTGGTACCAGACTCCTACTCAGGAAGTTTCGATGACCAGGCAGGTGCTTGTGCTGATGGGTTGTATCTCCAGCCCTAGAATTTTCATTCACTTTGGTTTGTTTGTTTCTTTTCTTTTGCCTTGCCTTGCCTTGCCTTGCCTTGCCTTGCCTTGCCTTGCCTTGCCTTGCCTTTCTTTCCTTTCCTTAAATATTTTGTAGTCCCTTGGACAAAACAATTTGGTATCTTTACTATTAAGTAGTAATGACTAACCAAATCGTAATTAACCATGGTAGCAGTGCAGTGGACAGTGGAAACAAAAGAGTTTAGACATTCTGTAAATCAGATCATCTCTTAGCTTCTGAATACAGTAGTTCTCTTTTAACTACTGGTTAACTTTCTATGGCTTCAGTTACCTGTGGTGAACCACAGATCAAAAATATTACATGGAAAATTTGAGAAATAAACAATTTATTAAATTTAAATTTTCATGATATGGGTAGCATAACCCAGAGCTATCCAACTAGAGATAGATATCATGCTTTTGTTCAGTATGTTCGCACTGTATAGGCTACCTGCCTGTTAGTCACTGAAGTAGCTGTCTGAGATGTTATCAGGTTGACTCTCCAGGTACCACAAGTACTGAGTTCAAGTAAACTTCACAGAGAGTGGTGTAAGTGTTAAGTCACCACACCTAATTTGCCTGCCTCACTTTATCTCATCATGTAGACATGGCTTCATTTCACATAATCAAAAAAGAAGAATGAGGGCTGGCCAGATAGCTCAGTGGACTAAAGTGCCTACTTAGGCAGACGCAAGGGCTGGGAGTTTGATCCCCAGGCCTGCCATGCACTGAGATGGCAATTGAGACTGGGCGTGGTAGTGTGTGCCTGTAATCCCAGTGCTTGGGAGGCTGTAAACAGGAGGATAACTACAAGTTTGATCTGCGTAGTAAGACCCTATACTAAATACATTAAAAAAAAGGATGAATACACTAAAGTAAGATACCATTCTATTTAATATTGTTAATATGAGGTATGATCCAAATATATTTAATTTTAAAAAATTATTATAGTGAAGCACATTAATCTCCCTCAAAATACTCTATCTCATTCACATTTATCATTCTTGCCACTTTCTTAATTAGTTTTGAAAGTTCTCTTTTGTGGGTGTCTTAAGTTATGCTGCTGTGTCTGCCTTAATATCCTGAATTAATTCAAAACATTTACCTTTTGTAGTCATTTTGCATTAGGAAAGAGCCAGAAGATAAGTAGTGCGAGATCTGGTGAATAAGGTGGATCTTATTCAGGACACACCTTAATGTTTTTATAATCTAGCCGGCCTGCCTGCCTGCCTGCCAGCCAGCCAGCTGTTTATCCCTACTTCCTCCTCCCTCCCCTTCCTCCCTCCTCCTTCTCCCCTTTCCTTCCCTCCCTCCCTTCCTTCCTTCCTTCCTTCCTTCGTTTTTGTTTTATGAAGACATGTTTCCATGTCTTATTCTGTAGCCCAGGCTGGCCTTGAGCTTACGTTGATGCTTTTTTGTCTCAGCATCCCAAGTGCTGGATTACAGGTGTGCACTGCCATGCCTGGCAAAGCCTGCCTTTCTGTTGGATGGCACTTGGCAGCAACACTGACCATATTTTTTTTATCACACCTCTTAAAGACACGTATAGTTCACTGTTCTGGTTGCATTTAATGACATGACCAGAAAGTGTGGGCTCCAGTTACTGGCTCAGTTTCCTCCTCTGAATGACAGAGTGAATGAAACATTCTTTCATGTATTTTTGGTGATGGGTATTGAAGTGCATACTGAACCTACCCTCTCTCACTGAGCTGGGTACAGTCTCAGCCTGAGCTATGTGCATTTAAAATACTACAATCTAGGCTGGTGGTGTAGCTCAGTGATAGGGCACATGCTTGGCACATGTAAAGGTCCTGGGTTCAGTCCTCAGTACACACCACACACACGCACACACACATGCACACGCACCCCAAGCCAGGAATATTCTGGCTTGCGTAGTGAGTTTTGGTCCTTGGGATGAAAGCAACTCTGCTTTATGCTGCTGATGCGCTCTTGCTCTGAATTTTCTAAATGCCGAGTAGCTGGCCACTTTGTTTTAGAACAGAATTACCAAAGGCAAAAAAAGGATATGTAAGTTATTACGTATATCAGTTCACTTAAACATAACAGCAGCTTTTTGAGGGAAATATTTTTATACATGAATAAGTTGAGATTAAGAGACTTTTAATAATTTAGTAATGAATTATTGCCTTTAATGGTTATATTCTACATAATATTTATTATGAGCTGATTGTCTGTTTGGCTGGGCACTGTCCAGGTAATATTCATATAAAGTATGTCTTACTTAAAAGGTGAGTCATCCAGATAGCTGCATCTAGACAGATGCACACCTGTAGTCTCAGGTGCTGTGCTGAGGCAGGAGGGTCCTTTGAGCCCACAAATCTGAACTACCTGGGAGACATAGTTAGACCCTAACTGAAAAAGAAAAAAATGGGATAGCTAGATAGAGGTCTCTGCTGTTTGTAAACTCAACGATAGTAACACCACCACCAGCAACAGCCAGATGGGTTGCCCACGGCTTAGAAATTGAAGTAATTTATTCATTAACAGAGTGGGTGAGAGGAGCAGAGTAGGTATGGGGCGGGGTGTGGATACCAGCTTCGTTTTCAGGCATGTTGTGAGAGGCACTCAGGTGGAGATATCTGGTGGACATTGCAAATTTGTGGTCCAAAGTCCCAGCACGAGATCTGGGTAGAGACAAAAGTGTATGAATGATGGGTATATTAGTGGGAGTTGAAGTGACTCACCATTTAGTCAAACTTCTTCCAGCCCTTCCTGCCAGTATATATTGATAGATACTA